CGGTGCCGACGTGAAACCCTCTGATGCCGGAGCAGACAAGGAATCGAACGACGCAAGCACCAACGGACCTTCAGATATGGACGACACCAGCGATTCAACTAAGCGAGCCTTCGATGACGATACGGCAGCAGGAAACGGAGCACGCCAACTACACCCCTGGATGGAACGCACGAAGAAGGGGCGTTACCAGCCCGCGCCCAACGATCCTAAAGAGGAACGTCGGCGCAGGGAAAGCAAGTAAGGCGTTCTTTGCCTGGTTCCCTGGTGTTCAAGATTGCTGCATCAAGACAACTTCGACCCTGACTGCTTAGGTTTTTAGTGTCTGCACCGAAGCACAGCGCATGATTTGTGAGTCCCAATCAGCCATTACAGTTGCAACGCTGAATGTTCGTGGTTTATGCACTAGGAAAAAGCAGTACCAAATACAGCGATTATTGTCGAAAGAGCAACCCGATTTCTTGGCGTTGCAAGAAACTAAATTGGCTGAGGCGGAACAGGTAGAGGAAGCAGTCAGACCTTTCATGCCTAACTACGAAATCTGTGTGACGCCTGCAGTTGGTCATTCGGCAGGGTGCTTCCTGCTTCTGAAGAAGTCGGTACCGTTGTCGCAGTTATGCGTTACTACGGACACTGAAGGACGTTTTATTATGTGTGATTTTGTGCTAACGTCAAATCAATTCAGGCTTATGTGCATTTATGCCCCAAATGTGACCACTGACCGCGTTTTATTTTTTGGCGGTTTACGTCGGTATCTTGATTGCGATAGAGCTCTAGTCCTTGTGGGTGACTTTATTTGTGTTGTACGACAGTTGGATAGATCGCCAATAAGACGGAACGCTGATAAGAGTGAACTACTTTTGGGCGAAATGTTGGAGGATTATGACCTGATTGATGTGGGCACTGTAAAAAACGCGAAGAAGGAAATGCGCTTTACCCCTTTTTCAAGCGTCGTCCAGTGCGCGTTTGGACAGGGTGTATGTTTCTGCCCCTCTAGCAGAACATTTAGGAAAGTACCGTGTCACTCCAGTCTTTTTCTCAGACCAGTCTGGTTATCGTGACGATAGGCGACAGAGCACCTGAAAAGAAAAAGTTTAATTGGAACCTATGGAAACTAAACATAAAGCTTCTGGAAGACAACGTCTTTCTAAAAAACGCAGTACAGTTTTTGAAAGATGCTTTTAAAGAGCCGGGAGGGGACATTTTCGAGAAATTGGAAATGGCAAAACAAGAAATTAAGGCAATCGCCATTGAGAGGTCGTCAATTCTTTCGTACAACGCCCGTTGTGAGGAACGCAGTTTAAATAAGGACTTGACAGAGCTATGTAAAGCAGAGTGCGAAAGACCCGGTAATGGGGTAAAAGACGTGGAGTATGTCAGAGAAAAATTAGATCAGCTCCACCGCGAGCGCTATCGTGGTGCAGTAGTGCGCGCCCGAGCATAAAAACACACAATGGGCGAGCAGCCCACTAAGCGTGCCTTGGCAGACGAGAAGCGTTACGCACTTCGGAACGAAATAACCGAAATTGAATTCAAGCAAATGATTACTACGGATCCCGAGAAAATAGCACAGGCCTTCCTCGAGCATTACGCACAGCTTTTTGCTAATAAAGCGCAAGGGTGTCATAGGGACATTTATGCCCAGCTTTTAGGAAAACTGCCAAGGCTATCGAATGATGAACGCGAAGAGCTTGAGCAAGAAATTACGATCCAAGAAGTGGAGCGCGCAATCGACGACCTGCCGAACTCTAAGACGCCGGGACCGGATGGATTGGGCGCAGAATTTTACAAGAACTTTAAGAGCCTAATAGCTAGTGTTTTTTTGAACGTCATTCATACTGCCTATGAAAGAGAATGTTTGCCCTTTTCGTTTTCTCGTGCCTACACTGTCCTGATACCGAAATCTGATGACCCCGTGAAACTGCGCAGCGTCACCGGTTATCGCCCAATAACGCTATGCAATACCGATTACAAGATCTTCGCGAAAATTCTGGCGCGTCGCCTTCAAGGTGTCGCATGTGAGATAATAAGCGAGCATCAAACGTGTGGGATACAGGGGAGGACTATCTTGACAAATGTGCATGTGGCTCGTAGCGTCCTGGAGGCCTGCAGTGACAGCACCACGCAGGTTGCAGTGCTACAGATAGATCTAGATAAGGCATTCGACCGTGTTAGCCATGATGTACTCTTTGATGTTTTGAGTCATGTCAATGTTGGTGACGCCATCCTAAAAGGTGTAAAGATGGCCTATAAGGACTGTACAACAAGGCTTATAGTGAACAAAGAGCTCAGTTCTGTTATTAACGTACGAGAGTCGGTACGACAAGGTTGCCCTATGTCTCCCCTTTTGTTTGATTTGTATTTAGAGCTTTTCTGTTTAAGCGTAAAAAATAGTCAACGTGTCCGAGGTTTCCAATTTTATAATGCAGAAGTAAAAATAATGAGTTACGCCGATGACATTGCTGTTTTTTGTAGGGACAAAGAAAGCGTTACCGAAGTCATAACTTTGGCTAAAAGGTTTTGCCACGCTACTGGTGCTGTTATAAACTGGGAAAAGTGCCGTGGTTTCTGGCATGGTGCTTGGGCCACTACACCCTCAGAATTTGAGGGTGTATGCTGGGACACAGTGCCGTGCAAGTACCTCGGGGTGCCATTGCAAAGTTTCCGGAATAGCCAAACGTACTGGTCGGGTGTCGCTGTCGACCTGGACAGGCGTGCTTCTCGTTGGAAGCAACGCGAGCTGTCCATTTTTGGCCCGAGCGACTGTTTGTAACGTTTTTCTGATTGCGAAGCTCTGGTATGTTCTTCAGGTCATCCATTGTGCGCGAACTAATGTTCAAAAATTTCATCGAATTTTCGCCACGTTTATTTGGAACTCGAAGTATGAGCCGATGAGACGAGACAATCTTTTTCATTGAGTTTGTAACGGTGGCGTGGGGCTTTCCCACCTTTTTGTCAAGCAGCTTGTGTCACGCTTCTTTTTTTGAGAGACCAAGAGCACCCGTTCATTCGCACACTGATCCAAACAAAAGTGTCACCACATTTTCCATCTTTTCTTGTTTCTTCTCATGGCGGCGAGCCAACAAGAATCACTGGTTTTTTGAAAGAAGTTGTTGACACGATGGGGTTTCTGACAGCACGTTTTTCTTTGAATTACCTTTGTGATGTCAGTAAAAAAGCGCTCTATCGCGATTTAGTTGTGAGTGTTTTTACCATGCCCTTGTATTGAGGTGTGTCCCAACATGGCCACGATGTGCTTAGACGTGTAAAAAGGATGTGTGTTCCCGTGGCTGTTAAGACTTTTTTTAAAAAATTACACACGAATACCGTGCCAGTTAAGGTTTGGCTTAAAGAAAGAGGGATCTATGTGCCACGGTCGGTAAATTGCCTTCTATGTAAAAAACCTGAGACTATTGAACGTGTGTTTATTTTTTGTTGGGACGCGGTATTTTTCTGGGATGTCCTCCAACGCACTTTAAAGAAAGAATTACCAGTAACCCCAACAGGGATACGTTTCCTTAGTGTGGATAATGATAATGAAGTTCCTTATGACATGATTATGTTGTTAGCTTTGTGCAGCATTTAGAGATCACGTATGGCTGTTCGACATGCTGACCTCGACGCAAAAGAAGTGCGGATATATTTCTCCAACCTTGTAAAACAAGTACAGAGTGTGTATTTGAACTGTGAACCTGAACCGGAGTGGACTAGTATTTTAAAGTCACTCCTCGAAATGCGTGATTTTTAATACGCTGTGCAAAAGAGCTGTGCAGTGCTGTTAGAATGACATGAATGTTGCTGTAACTACCATGCAATACAGAAAAAAAAAAAAAAAAAAAAAGGAGGAAGTGGCCGAGTGGGCTAACGCGTCTCAGCTCGGAGCGTGGAGCGAAAGCTTGCGTTGGGGGAACCTCCTGGGCTCGATCCCCGCCGCCCCCGCCCGTTTCGACCTGGACGAGTTTCGTACCGGCACGCGTTCGTGTGACGACTACTGCGTGATGCACGTTAAAAACCCCAGGTTAGCGGTTGTACCGCACTGGCCAAATTTCTCATCTACAGCTGAGACCGATTACCCGTTGAGGCGCATCTCATCAAGGCTGTATAAACATAAAGAGCAAGCCAATTTGTTTCTTTTTTTCTTTTCTGTAAAAGTTCTTCCTGACGAAGGCCGGAATCCGGCCGAAACGTCGAAGAATAAATCGTCTGTTGTGGCTGTTTTCACGAAGGGTTTTTTTCTTCTCAGTTATATATATATATATATATATATATATATATATATATATATATTGTTGCGAAGATGTGCAGCCGGCAGCAAATGACGATGACGCGTCCACTTAATGAAATAGAAAGGATTTTTATGGAAGCCGGGGCGTGCGCGCGTTGCTTGGCGCGTGATGGTCAGGTATGCGTCGTTGTGTTCGTCACATTTCCCCCTCCTTTAAAGAGGACGACCCGGCTGATGAATGAAGAAAGCACGTGAGAAGACTGAAAACAGACACACACATATAGTCATAGGAGACAAGGCAGAATACTTATGAATAGACGAATGACTCCTGCCGGCCGCGTAGAATTAAATGTTCTTGAACTTGCAGCCTCTCTCCACAGCATTGCCGACCTGTGTACCAGCCACAGCCCCACAACGTCACGATCCCGGCTGGGGAATTCATTTGAGCGCTGTCAACACAGACGGGGCTTGGGCCAGGGCAGGGGACCAAAACCTCGGGTCTGTATCTTGATTTCGTCCATAGTTCATCTTTTTCACGGCGCTCTTCACAAAAATTCTCGTAGCTCACATTCGCTGAACCTCTTTTGAACTCACTTCGGCATTTCACGTAGTTCGCGGGGAGGGGGCTGTGCGGCGAGGCTATGGTCTGGAGCTCAATCAGCTTAAATACCTTAAGACCTGCGCATTAATTTTGCATTACAGGGAAGCGTAAACGTTTGTAAATTTTCCTTAAAACTAAGTTTATGAAGCATTTAAACTTTCTTCACGAAACAATATATTTTCTAGTGGATACGTGACTTTCTTTATTTCCGGGAATCCACCCCCAGAACCATGAAAAGTGACACAAGTTCAGGCTGTTCGCCCAGCGTAACCAACTGAGATATTTCAGGGCATGTCAAAATCGGAATGTTAGTTTCGGTTTGTTGTGTGTTTTTCCCATTGACATCTCGCCGTCATTGTATGCGGGAAATGCATCCGAGTTTCACTGGCTTAAGGGATTGCAGAAGCCAAGAAGCTGTCTGCAGCTTCAAGGGCACCTAAAACAAACAAAAACGTAAACTGTTAGCGACGCTTTTTGTTTTATGAAATGTAAAAGTGCTAACAAGACGAGGACAAAAAGGAAGGCGAAAAGGACAAGCGCTTACTCTCAACCGAACATTTATTTTAAAAAAAACGCTGAAGCGGTTTTTAAATAAACGTTCCTCCGATAAATCCTCCGATAAAAATACACTGAATCACTCAGTGGCGTCACTCATCACCACGCGTCAATAAAATCACTCTCTTTTTGATGCAGAAAAATCGACGGCTGGCTGCGCAGCCTTCAGTGCCTTCTCTCTTTGAAGGATTCGCTTTACGCACTTCCCTTGCAGCTTTTTCACGGTCCCTCTCTACGATCCTGATATTTTGAAAGTTGGGCTGGCACAGACTGTCTCTGTGTTCTTTTTTTTTTTTGACAGATTGTGAGGAAATAAAGTTGAACAGGAACAATGAGGGTGGGAAATGGCTCTAACATGAGAAACATTTTGCCGTCGTGTTGACATGTCACAAAGAAAACCGTCGTTTGGTAAACTACCCTATTGTGAATACTGTAAAAAAAAAACACGTAATTTTCGTGATCCCTTATTTTTCGCGAAATTCTAAAATTGAAAGATTCGCAAAATTTAACGGCACGCAAAGATTTTGCTCTTAAGAGCTTCAATGCAGGCATCTGGAATTCTCGAAATTTAACGGCCGCGATGTCTTTCGTGACCGATTCGTTAAAAGTAGAGACCGCGAAAATAAAGGGTTTTAGAGTATTTCCACCTTCAAATATTGTTCAACCAACCCTGACTAAACGTACACTCAGCGACAATATTAGCGCGAACTCGACTTGGCCTTTTCACATTTCATTTCGAACAGTACAGGCGGGCATGAAAATGTACCACTCAAGTTAGCAGCCCAACTGAGCACATTCCACCACCATATACTGGTGAGGGTGGTTCTTCAATACTGAGAGAACAAAAAAAAAATACTGGCGATTGCTTGTGCGTGTAATCAGGGTCGCCGAGTGGAAATTACATTATAAGGCTATCGATTACAAAGATAAACGCGTAGTTATTTTCTAGGTGGATACCCTTAGTTTAACGGCTGGCTAGCCGTTAAAAAGTCTAGCCGCACTTAAACAAGTGTTGGAATCATTTGCGTTCAGGCGAGCCCTTTTGTTTCTTGTTCCGCTTATCGCTTCGTCCTCTTCGAGGAGAAACAAAATTCCGGATAGCGTCTTCGTAAAGGTGCACGCTCGGCTCCGCCAACCGCCGCTAAAGGAATGGTGGTAGGGTGGGCTATACGGAGGAAAAAGCTACAATAGCGAGAGCGAGAGCAGTCCTGCGATGAAACCTATCCAAAGCCCCTTAAACAGAAAGACGCGGTGCTTAATTTTCTATGTTACCTACAGGGAGCAACATACACGAGTTTAGCGCGGGGCGGAAGAGGAGGGAGGAAGGGGGCGCTTGTTATCCAAGGGTTCGAGGCGGGGCATGATCCACATTTTCGTTTGCTATTGCGTGAATATGTGGCACATGCAAATTTTGCAGTCACCGTTTTGGCTTTATGTAATGGTATGTCATGTTATATTAAAGCTGCTGCTAATAATGTTCTTTTTCGGGGGGATATGAGGCAATGTAGAGTTTCAATCGTACTCCTAAGCTCAATCGCAACCCGACACTCGAACGTGCGGTGGCATTCAGCCACGCTGAAAAACCCGGCTGTAAATTTTGAAGAGACGATAAAAGCTTTGGTCTCGGCTAGTGAGATGGGCGGTTCAATGTAGCCCAACTCCCAATGGACGGCATGAGACTTATTTTTTCCTTCGATCAGCGTTCTGCTGTGGAACATCGCGCGTCCGGCGACTGTTAATAAGCAATCCGGCGCGGTTCAACGAACTACACTTAGCGATGCGAAAATTCGCTGTCCTCGCATTTAGCCTAGGTGCACCTCTCGCAGCACGCCCCTGTGTAACTCGGGAATAATATATGGGGCACTGAAAAAGAAAATAAACGCATGGCTCGAGATATTTTAGGGGACATGGAGTGAACTAAAATATACAACTTGAACGTTTTCATAATAAGCTCACTCTTAGATAAATTAAGGAATGCTAGAACATATTGTTCATTCATATGTACGTTACATCAGAAACATATAGTATCATCGGTTAAACATAATGCGCTGATTATGATAAACCAAGATCACGTGCTTTCTTTTCCGTTAAACCATTATATTAGGCAAAGGAAAAAAAACATTGCATCCGACATTGAGGGTGAAAAGGTTCATAAGCCTTGCCATTAGATAAGATGAAAAATTGAAATGCCTTTCATTCTCCTTCACACCATGGCCCGTAATTCAAAAAATCTATGTCGTTGCATATTAAAACAAAAACAAGAAACGTCCGCAAAAATAGTGAACGTAACCCACAAACCACTACATGTGCACACGCATGATTTTGCTTTTGGTGGATGAATTTGAAATAATTTCAGTTGTAATAGCTGTCGATAGCATGTAAACGTTGAATTATATATGAAGTATACCAACCGGGGTTTCAGTGCATCTTTGGAATTTGATATTTCGGAGGAGGCATGCAAGTGTAGCTTTGGTTTGTATGATTCCCATCCTCTGGGCGACGCAGTTTCTTGGTCCGGCACCGAACGCAAGGAACGTGTACGGAACAAGAGCATCCTTGTTTTCAGGCAAGAACCTGAAACAAAAATCGAAGACCTGTAAGCGTGCATAAAAAAAAGGGAACTTTATTTTTTACTTTGTGATTGATGGCATGGTAGATTCCGCTGAATAATGAATAATGGGACAATGTACTTTGTGCGGAATGACTATTTCGATATATCACAAATGGGTACAGTAAAGGTTGGTTCACACACTTGCAACTCCTTATGACCGGAGAGGCTAAAAACAAGTCTTAAGCCTCTTGTGACTGCTAACGACGTTTGCGCAGCGGTTGTAAGCAGTCACAAGAGGCTTACAAACCTGTTTTGATCCCTTCCGTGCGTAAGCAGTCGCAAGTGTGTGAGCTAGCCTTAATACTCGAAACGCTTTGAATAACACAAATTAACATCAAGCATGTATTTTTAGTAAGCGTAGCCTAAACAACAATTCAACGTAAGCGTATTTCAGCAAACAGTCACATTCCTGCTGAGTAGATAGCGCATATAATGGGAAAAACCGAAAGCGCCCCCGACATGGGGGTTAACTATTATCCAGCATCTTTTTGTGTATAGTGTTTCTTAATATGGCTCACTATTTGGAATTATTACAAAATCCCGCCAGGGATAATAAGTTAAAGTGAAAGATAATGACAGACAAATTTATGGAAACCACTAAGGTCCCATTTGTCTCGCGAATTTTTATGACTGATTTTCGAACGCTGAATGTTTTCTTGTTGCAATAGTATATAGGGCAGTACGACCGCACAAGACTTTTTATCTGAAACCTTATTTTCAACTGAACACTGCAACGTTCTGTTTACGAATATTTCTTTAAGAACATACCGTTCTTCCTGATACGTTAAAAGATGTGTAAAAAGGTATCAAATACGTTTTCACGTAATGTTCCAACTTTGACAGTCTCATAGTTTATTGTAATCAGGTGGTGAACTGGGCCAGTTGGTTGACGTTGTACATGATAGGAAAAACAGCTAAAAAACGCAGACTACGAAAAAAAAAAAAAAAACACGACAGGACAATGCTGCACTCGCAACTGAGGAATTTTAATGCTGGAAACAGAATAAAAAAAACACATACACAGTATCTAGAAATATCGCACAAAAAAGACTGGGTCACTCTCGCAAACTGAAATGTTTCTCGGTTAACGAGTGGGGCCCGATGTTGTTGTTCTGATTTTTTTTTAATTCGGTATTTCAAGGTACTGTGTATGTGTCTTTTTATTGTCAGTTTCCTCTATTAGAATTATAAGTTCTGTGGAAAACCCTACTGAAGGTGAGGAACCGCTTTTCCTTTTATTATCATCCTGTAGACGTTAGAAAGTACGGCCTAGGCGCCACCATCTTGCTGCTGGTATGTTTAGACCTTCTGATATTCAAGCATTGCTGAGACGTACCCACGGTTTCCAGACTGGCGCCCAAACAAATCTTTTTACATTCATAACGGCCAGACTACGTAGCGCTCGAAGAGTAACTGCTTGCAAACATCTATATAATCACCGAGAACGCAGGTTATTTTTACCCAAACCGTCGACAGCAATCATGCTTCATAAAACGGGGATGATAAAAGAGACAGACACGACAGGACAACAGCTGAACCAACTTTTACCATGTCGCCCAGTTCAACACCTTGGTACCAACTATTTAACGTCTTTGGCAAGGCGTTGATAGTTCGTGATCCTATTGATGAAGCAACATTGACGCATTTTCTATTCACTTGCACAATGATATGAGCTCAACAAAAAAATTGTTTCTATCCTATTTTATTTGATAATTTGAGGAATGCTAGTTTCCAATAATGCGCTATATCTTAGGCACCGTTTCCATTTAGATATTTAACATTATTGAGAAAATAAGTAAAAAATTTTAATCTCCACAATAAACGTCTTATTACATGTATACTAGCGGTGTTGCTTTAACTTTGGAATAAATGGAAACTTTCAGGCAGCCCCCCAATTACGGCTACAATTCGTATATGATTGTTAAGGACACAAAATGTTTAACTGTGAATAATGACAAGAAAAATTTCCGAGTCTACTAGGACGCGTTCTTGCATATTTAATCTTTCCAAGCAAATAAATAAATAGTGAACAAATATAAATACAATCATTTCAGAAATATTAATCTGTCTTGCTTGTGAATTGTGACTCTCCTTTCCCTATTCTACTAAAGAAACTGAGTGCCTAGCTGATAGCGTGTTTTGTCTTTTGTCAAAATTTGTGACGTAAATGCAACAAAAGTGTTTAAAGCTATACATTTCCTTCTTACACAGTCCATATTACTTACTGCTCGTGCTGATCTTCACAGTGACGTACAACAACGGTCCACAGTTAAATGAATAAGAACCTAGTAACTGACAAGATATACCTCCGGCTTGATTGGACGCTCCCGTTTTTGATTAAGAAAACACGAAAACTACAGGATTTCTTAATAAAAACTTTTAGCCTCTCCACTCTTGTGAAGAAGGGAGACCAGCGAAGCTGTGCTATGGTGGGAATGAAGTAATGGCTCCTGAAAGTCGGCAAGCCAGAGTAAAAAAGCTGGAAAGGTTGCCGCCATCTATAAGCGACGGCGGTAAACAGACAACCGGTAAGCCGGTTGTCGGGTTACCGCCGTCACTCATAGATGGCGGTAGCTGTCCGGAGTGTTCTGTCGACATTTATTTGCTGGCGGACACGATCCTGGAGAAACCAGCCCGTAACAACTCCGCTGTAAAAAAAAAAAACATTTAAAATGTTTGAGTTAGTACAGATGTCAAAGGACAATTACATATTTCATATGTTGGAGCACATTGATATTGCTATGTTGAGAGTGCCCTTTTGACGCCCACTGCGTGGAAGTATCTAGGAATGCAATCACCAACCTTTCTGGTTTGAAGCACTCGGGTTCGGGAAAGAATTCTGGATCGTGATGAATTCCTTCAATCGGAATTTCAATGCACATTCCTGGACGAACCTCAATTCCAGCCACTGAGATCTCCTGGGTGCATCTTCTTATTAGGCTGAAGGAAGCGGAAATCACATTCAAATATAGTGTAGTTCATAGTTACGCCAGCTGACGAAAGTTGAGCAACGCTCTTGATGCAGATCTATCTCGCAAATGCTTGAGATAGTTTAGTTTCTCGAACGATGCTACGCCTCGCGCAGCATCGATAGAAAACCTTCTACCAATATACATATGATAGCTCTACGTATGTGAAACGCTTCCAGGGAGCTCAGAAACGCCCTGCCTTGGCTGAACGACCAGAATGTAAAGTATTTCATTCCTTCGTGACGATGCACGTGGGCGAACTAAATGTCTGATGCCTTTCCGAAATCACCTGTTTAATAATTTGAAATTGTAAACATTCTACTTCTAAACTGGTTCTGATAACTTTCAAGTTGGCAGGGACTTACTAGGAAGCAACAATTACGAACCTGCACTTGCAGGAATAGCAAAAATAAAAACTTGAAAGGAAAATAAATTTATTGTCCTTGCTAAGATTGTTGGCTCTCGGCTTTCATTCTTTCGTAAACACAGTTTATGACGCGTTTTTTTTGTTGAATCAGTATGTCAAGAAGACTGGCAAGTGAAATAATACCTGGTATTAAGAAGTTTCAGCAGACTATTGACAACGAAGTACGTAGAACACGCTCTATAAAGAGGTATTATTGCGCACTTAAGATACGTCGTTTTTAATAAAAACAGGCCCTTTTCAATATGCTAATTGCTCCATGGCTACGTTCTACTCTCCTCAGATTGGGCTTATTGCGCTCGGTGGGCATGAAAGGGGAGGGAGGGGGGAGGGGGGGGGGGCTTGATCAGATAGCACATTTATTAAAATGTTATACTTCACTTTCCTGAACACTCTTGCTAGGGAGCATGTTATTAGCGTAGTTTTGAAGGTAAAATTTATTCTAGATTCAGCAAAGGGTCGTAGACATCATAGGACCTCTCAGTTAGCCGAAATTGCGAACTCTATTTCAGGTACATGGGTCTGAGTGGGATTCGAACCCGCCATAGTTGAGATTCTGTAGGCCCCCTCTTCCGGATGCATCTTCGTTCCCGATTTAGTCCTTACAATGAGTCAGGCGTGTACATTCGCAAGGCCTCGTTGATGACAGCTTCCAGATACGACATTTCCTTGAGAGCTTCGTAGGTGACACCATTCTAAAGGAAAGGGGAAGTGCATTCTTACATTTACGCACATTTAAAGTCATCCGTCTTCTATTTTCTTGTTTTTGCGCAAGAATGTTTCATTGACACGAGTGCGTGCGACACTTTGTTCATTTTCGCGATCACAAGTCAACAGACACGACAATTTAACTCCTCTAAAAATGTCTTAACCTATCTTAGTAAACAAACGTAGCATTGTCGAGGTTGCAATCAAAGTAGCGGCCATGGCGCCACCATCTATGCGATGGGATGTCATGCAGGCTCGTTCCATCACGGCCTGACTAGAAGAGAAAAAAACGCGCTTTCTTACGGCCTCCACAAGGGGGGTAGTTACTCTCTGCAACCGCAGCTCGGTGGGTTGACTACAGGGGTGTAGCTAGGGGGGTGGTGGTGGAGGTGGAGGGGGGAGGGGGGGGGGGGGCATATGGGGGCTTCAGCTTACCCTACCCCAAAATCCAGCTGTCCCTATACAGAGTTATTCACAAGGGCGTCGCCATCTTGAATTATCGTCACTTCCAGTATGGGCGAAAGCGTTGCTTTGCCGTCGCCTTCCCAACCGAATACATTTAGGATATAAGCGTCACCATCACCCATTTCTCGTTTTGTTACCCCTTTTTTTTTAGTATTTCCAGGTTCAAATGTTTTATTATTTTTTGTCGTCCATACCGGATATGCCTACCAGGTGGCTGGTGCCGAAAGTAAGCGAAGAAGATGTATAATGTACGCGCGCACTTTGACCTCCCCCTCTCCGCACCCGAAATCAGGGACATCCCAGCCACCTCAGCCTCCGCCCCTAAGAAACATTTCCGGGACAACAAAAAAGAGGTTGCTTTATGGGGAGGAGTTCAGACCTTGGCGCCCGAAGTGGTAAACTTTAGAACTAGATGGATGAGGACAACAAATACAGTGGCTCAGCGCTCGGCTGACTTAACTGAACGCAGCGTCAGCGTTCGGCTGGAATTCCTGTTTTCCGGCGAGGGGAAGGGGCTCTTTTGTTACCATTCCGGCCTGCGTGAACAATGCAGCATGCAGGGTGCCCAGCTCAGCACAAAAGCCCAAGTGGGTCAAGCTCGCATCTTCTGGCGACTGCTTTCGGGAGAGACCCGGCACTTAACGTCACTTCACTAATTGTTGGTATTTTTCGTGAGACTGTGACCCGCGCTCTATTAAAAAGATGACACGAACATGCCCACAAGGCCTGTGGGCATGTGCACAGGCCTTGAGTAAACACCGAGGTGTGTGTTGTGTCCTACTGTGTTTATCTTTCACCTCTTCTTCTTTGTGTTGTCCGATCTATCACGTTATTCTTCAATACATCCTCTTTCTTTTCCTCTTCTGTGTTCGGCTGGAATAAATCAGTTCCTCACGAGATGCGATGGTCGTGCTCTGATAGCGGTCCACGAACCGCCCAACACTACACTGTAGGGGTGACGAATGGTTCAGAGCGCTTCGACAATAGTGACATCGCTGAATATTACGTCTTGTGGCGCACCTTAGACGCATCGTTTAACTACAGTCCATATGGGGAGTTCACTAGAAACGAACTTGGGACACGGATATGAGTGAAGGGATAAAAAAGAGAACCCACATAATAGCCACGGCAGTGGTCGCACCTTGTTCAAGTAGGTTGTGTTCAGAAACGCACTCAGCGTCAGGGGACACTTTGTTGGCATTTTGAGAGGTCGTCCAGCTCGCAGTTCGTTTCCTGTACTGTTTTCTGCTTACCAATGTCCCCTTACAGACAGTTTTCGCGAGAGAAATAAGCGCCAAACGGACAATACATACACACAAAAAAAATCTCGACGTTTTGCCCTAGCGAGGTCAAATATACAAAAAGGAAAACAAAAATGTCTACTTTTTTTGTGCGAGTCGACTTCTTATTCTCTTCTTTATTATTTTCTTGACACTCAAGTCTGCATTGTTGTCGTATCCCGTTTCCCGGTCTGCGTTGCCGCTCAGGGTAGCATCTCTACTTCCGCAAAACCACACCTTTTGTTTAAGGATTATTTTTAGGGGAAACTCTATGGAAACGAAAGGCGCCTTTCGGAAGGCGAAAGGCGAACCTTCAGTGTATGAACTTTGGGCTGAAATATTAGTCACTATTGGCAAAAAAACGATGTTTTCACGAGCTCAGTCAAAGTCACCGTGGCTAACCGGGGTTAGCAACAGGATTTTGTTGCTCGAAAGAACGTTCACGTTTGCTCGTGCCATGCCCACGCCACTTTATACCGAAAAACCCGGAAAATGGCGGAATGTCAAAAATGTATTTAAGATAACAAGTACAAGATACCCGGAATTGTAATTAAAATAGAGTATCAAATACTCTCCATCGAAGCTATTTGCAAGATACCAGGATACTTCAAAAAGTATTCAAAAATACAGTATCTTGAGTAGAGTATTTGAGACAGGCACAAGTCTGCTTGAATCAGCTCACTACAACTGCTTCATATGTGTTGGCGCACAGTTTCAATCACGCGTGTTCGAAACTGTTGTTCAGGGTGGTTCGGGCAATGCTCGGAGGGTGGCGTTGTCGCATCCCCACGCGGCAGAAAAACTTGCATTGCTTTGAAATCGAAAGCAAGATCCGTAAGGAACGCCCCTGTCAAGCTTGGCCGTGGTTCTACCTACTTTCGTTAGAAATCGGCACCCCCTCGTGAAGCAATTTCGTTTTTTTCTTAGATATTTCGATGTAGGTAAAGCCAGGTTTTTAAAATGTCCGCATCCTCACCCCACCATTATACTGTCAAGCTCTGGAAGACATAAATTGGAGAAGAATCTGGAGTTTGGCAAGTTGGTACATCTTAGATTCGAAAAGCGCCAGAAAGCAAGGACAGCAGAAAAAAGCGCATCGTTTCGTCTATTCCATCCGTTGTCCTTGTTTTCTGGCGCTTTTGGAATCTAATCTGGAAGACAAGTTCTGGAAGACTCCCTTTTCCGCCATGCATGGCTCATGTATGTAAACCGAAATCACGAATTTTTGTTTCTCTTTGTTCGTGTAGCTAGAATTTTCATCGTTCTTATAATTTTTCATGCGCTACAATTGCCAGACCCCGCAGGCTCGTTGCGGCCTTTACCTGTTTTACAGCAATGTCAATTTCGCGCAGCACTTTCTCTTGACACTCCGGGTGTGAGGCGAGGGAGTACGCCGTCCACATCAACGTAAGCGCGACGATGTCACTTCCGGCAACAAGGAACTGCATACATTGCGCTGCAAGGTCTTCAATGTTCGGTTCTAAAACAGAAAAAAAAAAACAGTAAGTATTTTTGGACGCATATGAAGTTCTAGCTACCGCTGCGCGGATTGTTTAAATATCCATGTAGTTCTAGCTTTTTTGCTCACTCTTCGGCACTCTCGTGCTCTTGAATGCTCGACGGCGTTTAAATTATGGTGTGAGTGAAAACATGATATTTAATGGGTGTTATCCCACACTTTTCTGAGGGCATCAGGGGAAAGGGGGGGTGTTATACCAGTGTTGGTGGTATCGAGTTACAAGTAACCGCATTACCGGTAGCGAGTAACTTTTTTTTCTGTAACGTATACAACGTACTCATTACATTTTCAGAACATTAGCCGGTGACGGGCAACGTAGTTACGTCACTCGTTACTTTTTCTTCCCCAACACCTGAAAAAACTACACTTAATTTTTTTTCGTGCTTCTCTACTTCGTTTTACCTCAAGTCCAAACACAGCCGACGCTACGAGCTCATGGGACCAATCAGAGAGCCTGAAAAGCGCATCATCATGGTGTTTGTCCTGCTTCTGTAAGTTCTCTATCGTCACCGAACCCATCATAAACACAAAGGGCCCAGTGACTTGCACTTTTAAAGCTGCGTGATTGGTCCCATTAGCTCGTATCGTGGGCTGCCTTTGTACTTAAGCTGAAACAAAGTATAGTGTTCGCCTCACAAAACTTGACGATTTGGAGAGGGAAACCGAGCTACCCAACGTTGGCAGCCATGCCGGGGCCTCCATTTTCGAACCGGGGCTCGCAGGTTGTCAGATAACGCGTGCTTACGGGAAACTTCGGGAATTCCGAGTGCCGAATTTAAACTCCACGGCTACTGCCACTTTCTGCGTGCGGTGGCCATCTCGTCACTGTCGCATGACAGAAGGAATTAATCTATAAACACGTGCTGAGAAAGCACGCGCCAACGCGAGCATCGTCTGCATTATGCTTCATATGTACTTGTGAAAAGAGCCTAGCGAACGACGTAAGTACCTGTGTAACAAGTATATGTATTAAATGCGCATATACAAGCTGTGAAAAGGCTACATACCCGATATTTTGAAGTTGTCATGGCTCCGTCCATGCGCAAGATCATCGAGACAGAGTTGAAGGACATCGTCGAACCGCTAAAAAGCAATCCGCACAAACATTATTCTGCTGGTGTTTCTGTTTACGCGAAACGTCCTGATGGACCTTGACGCCCTGTAAGATTTCCCTTGCTGCTAGCCGCCTCGCAAAATGACACAGCATACTGGTTCAACAACACGTAGTCTTTTATTAGGGAGTTTTCATGTGTAGTTTTTATGCGAATGGTTTTCCCCCGACCGACTAGCCGACGCACCCGCGCATGCGCGAAATATTTGCCCGGGAACTTGAGAATGATTCGTTCTAATGGCAACGATTTGCGGTGCGTAATCTAGAGTGAACGCGGAAGGAACGACCTTCAACATGGCGGACAGAGGACGAGCTTGGACGAGCGGTGCGCTGCACATCTCAAAACGGTCACACGAATTATTTTTATTTAAGGCGGTTTAATAAAGAATTCGGGGTATTGTTTGGAAGCAAAGGGTTCGTCTACGAATGATTCGCTAACGTAACTGCGTATGCCGTCCTGAAAAAAAGTTCGCCACCTAAATTTCCATGCATATGGCCTCATCGGACCGGCGGGGCAGTGGGGCCGCCATCAATGAACCGAGATTTCTGGCGACGTATTCCAAGTAAGGCAAAGAACTCGTGAAATATCGCCTTGAACGTCATTACGTAGTTTGTTATTACTGTTGTTGTTGTTTTGCTTTGGGTATAAAGTAAACCAGAGGCAGCAGGCATCGCACCAACTGAAACTAAAATAAGGTACTTTCCTTCTAGAGATCTCAAAGCCAATGTCCAACACTACCAAACATGCACCTCGAGGTCCATACTCCAATATTTAGAAGTGAGTATGATGACATATAGACTAACGAGCTCTATTGTATTCTTTGCGTACACCGACCTGTTTGAATTTTAAGGTGGCGTAATTTCGAAATATTCAAGTTTAACAGAACGCGGGGCGACTGAACATGCTGTCCTGTCAGCGACGACATTCATCCTCAGTTATTTCAAAGTTTGTAAACTGGCGGCAAGTTCGGCGAATTGCTTGTAGACAAATCTTTCACTTTGAAACGAAACCACAGCGACCTGTTTGGACCGCCTAGAGATGTGGCTTGCACCACTCACCCAAGCTTGTCCTACTCCATTCACCACGCTGAAAGGCTTTGACTCTTTGTGTTTCACACTGTCAGATACCGCAAATCATTACAATTCTGCTGAACGGTTCCGCAGCTTCTTCGGGGACGAATCGGTCGCCTAAAAACGACTCACGACACCTCCATTTTCTCAAAGTTGATCCCGCAAGATTCGCACGCGCATGCGCAGCAGCGTTGGTGTATCGTTTGGGGGGAAACTGTCAGCGTCGAAACTATTCACTGAAATTCCCTATGAACTGTCATCACCCGCGACCCAAACGCTCATACTTTTGCGATGGCCTTTGAGCAGTAGCGGAGCGCAGGGCCCGTGGCGGATTACACTTGGCTACCCCACGATGGTTATGGCCATAGACCATTTGACATGCTGGCAACCTGCTAGCAACACGCTGCAATATCGGGCTGCCCACAGGCCAAAGGCACTACAACACTCAGTTGAAAAACTAACCCTTAAAACCCGGGCCGCTCGCGTCAACCGAGACCAAACTAAATGCGATAACAGCGCCCCCCTCTAGCGACGAGTCAAAACGTGAAAGTTGATACTAGTATATATATATATATATATATATATATAACGGGCATGGTGGCGGGAGGCCGAAGGCGTGGGTATAAAACTGAGAAGAAAAAACCTAAGGGTTTTTTGCTTCTCAGTTATATATATATATATATATATATATATATATATATATATATATATATATATATATATATATATATATATATATATATATATATATATATATAGCTACCGCGAAATGGCACTGCGAGCTTACACCACCGGCTCTTGCGCGCTTTATGGCGATTAGACCTGTACCAACACCGCCAAGTATGCACCTCGAGAGCCGTAGTCCAAGCTTGCACCTCGAAAGCCATACCCGTGCAGTTCCCGGAGTGGCCGCTGCGTGAGGAATGACGGTGTTGCGATCGCCTTCAGTTCGGTTCTCGACTACCGATCAGAGCCAATATTTCGAAGCAGGCTCTATGGCTGTTTCCCGACTGAGTTGTTCTAGGAACGTTTCCACAAGCTAAATGAACATCCCGAAGTAATTATACTCAACGTACAATGTTAATTATCAAAGGGGCCCTGACTGGCATGAATCAAACACTTTTCGTTGGCTAATGAAAATTTTTATGAAAACGTAACAAAACTTCCATCGGCATTCTAGAACAAAGAGTGCGAGATCGATAAGATTTACATAAAACCTGCATCACAGCTGTTTCATTGACGGCTCAGCTGAACCGACTGTACTTGACGCGCTCGGCTGGACATTTCATTGTGAGCTTTGTGCTCCGTGTTCTCACTGAACAGGGTCTCGTACATGCAGGGGACGTAGTCATGAGATTCCAAGCAAGTCAAAAGGTGACTGGCACATCTTTTGCGTAGTTCTCCACTTTGCCCCCCCCCCCCCTTTCCCTCAAATTCAATGTTAAAACGAGCATAGCGATGTCTTTCTTTTTTTTTTTAATGAACATAAGGATAAACTTATAGCGAATATTACCTGATTCGAAGCGCAGCGTTGTTGCGCCATGTGTCTCGTAAATTCTTTGAAGTATTCAGTACCCTTGTTGCTCGAGAATTTCATTGGGAGAAGTTTGTAGACAGTTGGCATGCTAGCTGCATGTAAACGTGAATAATGAGAGAAATATATTGGCTGCGAGCTTGTACGCGAATATTAACTAATCGTTTCTTATAAAAAAAAATAAACGGTGAAACAGTTTTTTTTTTTTCCGTGATTGTTCGAGAGGGTACTTACTAAGGTGATGGTTTAACTTTATTTCAATTTTATTGTGCGTGTTACACGCGACAGAGCATCAGGATAAACCGTTATCGAACGGAAAATTAGGAACACCTAACTAAACTATGTCGTTTTTTGTTTTATCGCTGAAAGCTGGAACAAGCGCCGAAACGAACCAAATATCGCCCTAAAATAGAATGTCCACACTATGTTTTAAAGAACGATGCATAATTGCGGAGTTACCGTACACCAATGAGGATTTTTCGTATTTTTTTTTTAAATCGTATATGTGAACTACGTTTAGCAAATATCCTCATTTTTCAATAACACATCAAATATGATAGTACGTTCTGATCATGCATTCTTTAGTCGGTTTTGATTTAAACAGCGCAAAATAAGGTAAGGAAGGAAAGAGCGCTGACTTGCAACTGAGGTGTTGATGGAGAGGTAGTAAAAAAGTAGAAAGATGTCAAATGCGGTAATATTAATAAAGTAAGGAAGGGAGTAGAAGTTAGTTACAAAAATTAACCTCTCTCTAAGAGCCATTTTAAGGCATGACAATTTCCATTATTAACAAAACCCAAGTGAATATACCTATGTACGATTATTCATATGTGAACTACAAAGTTGACTTTAGTACTTTAGTCGGTTTTTCGCATAACTGTTCTAGCCGGAACAATTATGTCAACTGGCATGCACGATCGAAAATTCGGTCGAACAAGTCGAAAAATCGGCGCCTGTATATATCATGCTAAAATCTTCGTCAAACGTATCAGATTCTTATTCCAGAAAAAATATCAAACAAATGACGGCTACTTGACATATTATTCCACTTTTCAATTAAGCGCAAAGATACGGATTAGAATGTAATATTCTTTTTTTTAAATTTAGTTTCTCTGTGTGAGAGGACACCATATTGCTAATTGAATAAGTTAAGAGTGCATTATAGTTAAGTTCCCGCCTCGTCAATATCTGAGCATACGACCCTTCATTAGCGATCGTTTAGTGGCATGTAAAGTCTAACTGAAACTCACACAACAATATCATCTTCCATCCATTGAGGCTTGCGGAAAATTCATTGCCACATTTTACCAATGGATGGTCGGGAGTTTCATGAGGGTCCAAGTCTACCGAGTATACGAGCGCTGCCATCGCATTGATCGCGCACCCTTCGAACATTCTGTAAGAAAAACGTACCATCATCGATGCAAATCAAGACAAACTTAGCCAGTGTACATGAACACAGAATATGTCTCCATTCTTTTGTAGCTTTTCAGAAAACGATACCAACACAAGTAGGAATGTATTAAAACAAAGTATTAGATACGCGCCTAGATAATATATTAGGTATTCGACGCTGCATGAACAGCAGTATCGGGTTTTCGCACTGTGCAGTTGTAGAAATAAGAAAACAAGTCTATAACTGGCTCACGCATTCGCGCTATATTTTTACGCTGATAACCGTAATTGCCGAGGTTTCGCAGCGGGTTCTGATGTATGTAAACGGTAGATGGTGCTGCACCCTAAACATAACGTATATTGATGTTTTCAACCCAAATTTCGTAGCTTTTAAGACTTTTGTAACTAACTTGTGAACATTTTGTTGTGCATCATTACCAAGGCGTCTAGCTGTTCATGAGCACAGAAAATAAACAAATGAATGAATAACATAAAACGCTCCCCGCCAGATTTAGCTGGAAATCACTGTGCCACGTGACATTTTCACCTACATTTCACGAAGTTTTGCTCCTCTAAATTAAGCGGCAAAACTGTGACGTCATGTAAAAAAATGCCGTTTACAACTCCCTGTAACGCCGAATTAGAGCGCAGCTCTTGAGGAGGAGGAGAAGGTACGGAGATGGGTTGTGCGCCTCCTCCTCACGTGCTTGCCCCCATATACTTAAAAATTTCCGCTAAATTTAGCGGGGACGAAATTCCCCGCTAAATCTAGCGGAAAATACTCCCCGCTAAATTTAGCGGAACAAATTCCCCTCTAGATCTAGCGGAAAAAACATTTCCGCCAAATTTAGCGGAAACTTTCCCCCACCAAATTGAGGAAAAATCTTTCCACTAAATTTAGCGGAAAACATTCCCCGCTAAACGTAGCGGGGAACTTTTTCCGCTTGGTTTAGCGGGGAATATGTTCCGCTAAATTTGGCGGAGAAAATTTTGCGTTAAATTTCATGGGAAAAATTTTCCGCTAGATCTAGCAAGGAATATTTTCCGCTAAATTTAGCGGGGAAATTTACCCATCATGCACCGCGCGGTTACGTCGACGCCGACGCCGCTCAAGCCTGAAACGGGCGCCTAAAGGCACGACCACATTGGCGTTTCGGAGGCCTGCGGCGCGACGGTCGTCGCTGCCGGTTGCCGGCGGAAACCAGTTTTCGGCTTCGACGTCACGACGTGCGGCGCCGCACACCCAACTGCTCCTTGCGCGGTTCAGAGCTCAGCGCCGCACGCCGCAGAAGAGAGGAGCCAATGGGAGGTGGCGTAGAGAGTGACGTCGCGATGCCATGGCAACGCTCAAGCCGGTCCTCGGCGCGTCTCGAAGCGAAGGACGTGTTTGGTGTCGTCTGCTCCCCCTATTTCCCCCCGATGCCTTCCCGAACGGAGCGGTTCCTTGAAACTAACCAATTCGGAATTACAAGTGAGTTTCTCCGTGGCACTTGTTGCATGTCGTCTCTGTTGTGACGGATGTCGCGTTGATTTGGCGACATTTTCGAGAGTAGCCTTCATCTCTGGCGCGCCGCCGGGGCAGCAAAGCCCCGGCCACAGTGACCCCGGCGGCGCGAGAGACCTGTCCTGTCCTTCGGTGTTTCGGTAGAACCAACTCGGCCGGACCCCAAACCTGCGCCTCCTTCCCTTCAGAGCGCGGCGACGTCGCAAGATCAACGAGCAGTCTAGGATAATCACATTCACGCTGATTACCAGGTCATTATGAACTCCTACCGTCTAGACAGCGAGTGCGGAACGGAAGAATCTAACGAAGAGCAGACGACGAAAGAGCGGGAAATCCGGCGGGAGGCGCGACCGTGGGATCCAGTGCTGTCACGTGACGCCTGCAAAACGGAGGCCAATGTGGACTCCTCGCGTTGGGACGCCGGAAGGCGGTGCCGCCCGGCGGCGCCGCCCGGCGGCGCTGTTCACGCTAGTGTGGTCGGGCCTTAAAGGGGCCCTGCAATCATATTTAAGCGTCTACCTTTTTTGCGGTTTCCACGTCTCATAGGGGTCGGGCAAGCCAGCGGGCACGGAGAGAGTAACTAAATATCAATGCGTCATATTTTAACTGGACGACGCGGAAACCTCCTCCACCGACGAGGGCGACCCGCGGTACCGAAAGCGCGCAAAATGTGACGTCTTTGGTCCTGGGCTTACTACTGGTCAGAGCCGCTAAAAGCTTCTTTTTAGTCGAAATACAAAATATAAGAGGAGCGAACCGTTTCAATTATTTATAAAAGTAATTTTTGTTCGGTATTTTAGATCAAAAAAGAAACAAATGCCGCAACATAAAGTACGAAAAGAAGAATTGACCCGTCGACATACCCGCCACCAAGCGGTAAAAAAGGCGGCGCATACTAGAAAAGAGTAGTGGGATCAGGCGCCGACACGGAAAGGTCCCGGATGTACGCAGCCGCGCCGCGGTCATATGGGCAGGAGGTTCTGACCGGCTCCGAGCGTTCCGAAGGCCTTCGGCGAGAAGCTTTGTCTTGCGGTTTGGCCGTTTCACGGTATGGCAGCGCAAAGTAGCTCCCATTCTGAACTGATCTTTACCCCGTGTTAGATGTCGTTTGTGGCCAATGAAGTGTTATGCCGAAATAGTCTTTAATCGCGCAGCAAATGCAATGAGAGCCGCTCTAGGTGCCCGCTGCATACATCCTGTCGAGAACATGCTCTAGTGGCGCCCTCTCGCGCCGTCGAAACGGAGGGCGGCAGCCGTGAGCGCTCGATGAGCTCACTAGTTCTTCTCTAGTCCACGGCCACTCTCAAGCAACCAAGGACGTCATGAGGGAGGTTATTTTTTGCTCGTTTTTGTAATTTTAAGTTGCCTATAACTTTTAAAATAAAGGGAATTTCGAGAAAAGAAAAGTTTCACTAAGTTACTACGTTCAGTGCGCTCAGGTTCGGTGCAAATTAAAAATTAGTAAAAAAGTCATTGCAGGGCCCCTTTAAGGCCTCATTCACACAGACGTTTTTTCGCCCGGCCCGGCGAAAATGCCGGCCGTCCTTTTCGCCGGGGGAGAGGGTGTTAGGACCGGTTGCCGTCCGAATTCGGGCCGCCGGACCCGAAATGGGACGAACGAACGACGGCACCGGCGGGAGACCAAGAACGCCGGCGCCCCATCGAGGGACGGCCAATCACACAATCGGAAACTTACGCTGAATCTGGCGGATTCTTAAAAGTTGGGTGAGCATGGGCACGGCCGCGGCAGGGGAAATTGATCGTACTGTGCCCTCACCGCCCTAACGAGTCGACGAAGTCAACAAAGCTCGTTGGCTCGTTTCGGGAACGAGGGAGGCCAGCGAGACGACGGGCGCATCGTGTGACGTTTACGGCTCTTGAACAACGGGCATACGGACATTTGGATTTACCGCTGAGCTGCTGCTCGAAATGGTGAGACCACATCGGTTCCTTCGCGATAGACGTAAATGCGATTTTAAGGAAGAACAGCCGAAGAAAGAAAATGCAGTCGTCGATCATCGGGGACGAAATGCGGCGTAAGGAGTGATTGATGTGAAACGTGCTCGCGGTGGGTCTTGTCGCTTTTGTTTCGGAACGTGGAGGCAAATAAAATCGATGTTTTGAAACATGCAAGATCGTTATCGGCGACCTAAACGCAAGCTCCGAGGAACAGTTGCGGCTGCGCACATCGACGCCGATAGTCCGCTACATTTGGTGGTCGACGCCGCCACAAAGCAGCCACAAATACGGGATTACAAGATTGGTAGTAGAGATCGGGGGAAGCGTGAAGTTACGCACGAAATAATAGGTTATACCTGCTCTGCAGCTTCACGGAATAGAAACGTTCGACGCGGAATTTGAAAGGTGCAGAAAGATTTCTAAGCTAGGTGGCGCAAGCTACCGCCCAATATAAGGGGACACAGCTGACACAGCCGCCAGCATCCGCCGGGAGATCCGTCGCCGCTCCTCCGTCCCCGCACCGTCCCGTTTTCGGCACGGCGCCCACGGCGCTTTCGCCGGGACGGGGCGAAATGCCCGCTGTGTGAATGAGGCCTAAGAGCTGCGCTCTCAAAAACCCAGCGACCCTTTCGTCGGCTCTTTCTAACGACCTACAAGTGAGAAACGTTTCATTGATGGAGCTCGAAGAAAAGAGCGCCAATCTGGGCGGCCGTTCTCTTTGTACTGCCTACGGGGCGTACAATAGCTCGATTATTGCAAAGAGTGTCTACAGTTATGTCTCACTGTTACTGCTGCTCTAATAATACTAGGCAGTACTCATACTGAATGAACGAAGAGTGTAGATGAGGCTCTATAGTTCTTGCCGTATATCTTCCAATGTTCATAGATAGTATTCGAAGCAAGAAAAAAAAAAAAGATTAGGTAACCCCTGATATATACTTTATAATACAGATTAATATAATCATATCCTATTTTTATTTCGCTTAGATTTATTTGAATGCAAATTGTTTTATGACAAAGTATTTTTTTTTTTATTCTTACGAAACATTTCCGGCAAGGTTTGGGCCAGCGGTTTCTCTCCCAAACCTTCTAATAAGGCAGCACTGGGATCTTTCTGTTTGTAACGAGACACGTCTTATTTATAGAGTCGATGTCATATTTGCGTCATTATTTTGCTTCAAGAAATGTAGCATTTGAGAGGAAGGCCACCCACTTACTTAGAAACTTCCACGGCGCTCTTATTTTCACCTTCTAGCAGCAGTCGTGTGCAGAATTTGTCTGCCGCCGAGATAATTTCTGTGATCATCTATGAAAACACAAGGGAACGGTTAACTCCAGTAGACTGTTTCAGAGAAGTCAAACCTGTATCAACGAAGCAGCTCGTCCGGAACACATTTCTTTTCGTTTTGATGCCTCAAATTCGTCAGTATGCACCAAACAGACCACCACAGACCCTTCCTATGAGGCTCGTAGCCACGATTTTGTTTCGAGGTGGAGGGGGGGGCATGACATGCTGTATGAGGGGGAGGGGAGAGGGGTGGTTCCACCAAAACGGAAGATTTCGGGGGGGGGGGGGGGAGGGGGGGCCGGGCCCCATGCCGATCCCCCCCCTCCTGTCTGCGTGCCTGCTTCCTATAAGAAATAACGTATAGTAGTCTGCAGCAGAAGGCGGCAAATGGTAAGCGCCGACAGCTGTGGTCCCGGGAGAGAGAGTGAGGAAGAGGGCGACGGAACAGTGAAGAAAAAGCAGGCAAAGGTAGACATGTTCGCCTTTCTTGCGATGCGTTCAAGTTGTTGGAGTGATTGATCTTAATTTTCATCTCTATTTGCACAAAAGGAACAAACACAGAAGGCGTGCGTCTTTGCAACAGGCCATCACCTGTGCTTTTCTGCAAAATAAAGCAAAAAAAAAAATAGCTATAGACATTGGAATTAGTGTTTTGCTATAAATCTTTGTGCATATTAGAGCGTCGCGAGCAATATGGATTTCCTGGGACCACACCTGTGCGCGTCTACGCCCCTCCAATTCGAAGCGGTCGAAATGCGTGGCAAGAAGGTTCAGCTATCCCTCGATATTATTTATATTAAATCTACGCTTCACGAAGAAGTTAACATATTTGGAAAGTCGGACAGTTTGTTCTCGTCGCAATTTGTTTTCTTTCATATGAAAAGAAGTCAAGTTGAAACGGATAGACGCGGTATGTTCTAGTATAAAATATATATTCCCCACTGATTACTAACTGCTTTCAGTCGGCTTGTTGTCAAAGCTGTGGACATTATACTTCTTGCAGCTTTCCATTCTTCATCCGAGGTGTTCAGCATCACCTTGTCCCACATGGAATTTCCCATTACATTAGGCTTCTGAAAGAGAGTGTGAAGCATCCGAGATATCAGAAAAGTTATCGGAATTCAGTGACGTTCTTTTTAATTTCTTTATGCGTTTCATGCGAACAGGTCATGCGAGGGAAATTTCTCATTTCACTACACAAAATGCGACTGGAACTTTAGTATAAAAACAAGATAGCTGTCAGTACTTACTATCTTATGAGTGAATGACTTAAAATTCTTCACACAAATGTCACGAACGAGCAGTGGATCCCCAACTACGAGCGTAGGTACAAATCCTTGATAGGAGCTGCAAAACGTAACATCAGATATTCTGACAAACATAATCGTGAGGTGGACGACATTTTTCTGGAGATGTAAAGGCCTGGCCACACTAGCGGTGACGGCGCCGCTGGGCGGCATTGCCGTCCGGCGTCCCAACCCGGATGTAGGCGGCATTGGCCTCCGTTTTGCGGGCGTCACGTGACAGCACTGGGGCTCGCGATCGCGCCTCTCGTCAGATTTTTTGCTCTTTCGTGGTCTGATCTTCGTTAGATTCTTCCGATTCGACTCCGATCTTTCGCATATATCAGCATCGAAGCCGCAATCGCTGCCTGCACGGTAGGTGTTCATAATGACCGGGTGATCAGCGTGAATAGGATCATCCTAGCCTGCCCGTTGATCTTGAGACGAAAAAACAGTGAGTGCGCAGGCGAGCTGCTGGATGTTGATCATGATGTAGAAAACCCGAGAGTGTGGTAAAAGCAGGCAAATGGTGTCGAAGAGGAAAGACAGGGGAAAAGAACGTCTCAATTTGAGACGTTCGTTTCCCCTGTCTTTCTTCTTCGACCAAGTTTCTCTGCTTTTACCACAGTCTCGGGTTTTCTACATCATGATCTTGAGACGTCGCCGCGCTCCGAAGGGAAGGAGGCGCAGCTTTTGGGTCCGGCCCTGTCGGTTCTACCGAAACACCGGAGGACAGGTCAGTGCTTTGCTGCCCCGGCTGCGCGCCAGAGATGAAGGCTACTTTCGAGAGTGTCACCAAATCAGCACGACATCCGGCGCAACGCCGGCGACATGCAACAAGTGCCACGAAAAGGCGTACCTCTAATTCCGAATTCCTCTCCCATAATTTCGCAACGGTTGTTCTTAGCGCGTCCTTACCAAGGTAGTCGGGCTCCGTCTTGTGATATAAAAAGGGAAACAGTCGCACAGGTTCGAGGAACCGCTTCGTTGGGATAGGCATTGGGAGAAATAGGGTTAGCAGAGGAAACGAAACAACGCTACCATCCTTTGCAACGTGAAAAACGCGTGGAGAACCGGCTTGCGCGTTGCCAGAGAATCGTAACGTCACTATCTACGCCACCTCCCATTGGCCGCTTTCTTCTGCGGCGAGGAGCGGCGACCTCGGAACCTCGCAATCCCTGTTGGTTTCGCGGCGCCGTCCGGCGCAGCCCGAAAAACTGGTTTTGGTCGGCAGCCCGCGACGGCCAGCGTCGCGCGGCAAGCCACCGCGACGCTGGGCGCCGCACCTTAGTAAAGGCCCGTCCACAGTATCACTCTAGAAAAAGCCTGTGCGTCTACGTTCCCGCGCAATACTCGGAGAGGCAATCAGCTCAACTTACGGAGGCAGCTCAGCGAATGACGATGCCGAAACACGTGTTTAGACCAAAAAACGCAGTCTGAGTCGTGACATTAGGCAATGGAAAACGTCAGGCTTGCATTGCTTAATGTCACAACTCAGATTGCGTTTTTTTTTATATAAACAACACGCGTTTCGACATCGTCATTCGCTGAGCTGCCTCCGTAAGTTGCGCTGATTGGCTCTCCGAGTATTGCGCGAGAAAGTAGACGCACAGGCGTGGCGGATGCTTGCCGCTTGCCGCTGGCCCCCGCCGGCTAAAGGCTCCGTTAAGGCCCGACCACACTAGCGTGAACGGCGCCGCCGGGCGGCGCCGCCGGGCGGTACCGCCGTCCGGCGTCCCAACGCGAGGAGTCCACATTGGCCTCCGTTTTGCAGGCGTCACGTGACAGCACTGGTTCCCGCGATCGCGCCTCCCGTCGGATTTCCCGCTCTTTCGCGGTCTGCTCTTCGTTAGATTCTTCCGTTCCGCACTCGCTGTCTAGACGGTAAGAGTTCATAATGACCTGGTGATCAGCGTGAATGTGATTATCCTAACCTGCTCGTTGATCTTGCGACGTCGCCGCGCTCTGAAGGGAAGGAGGCGCAGGTTTTGGGTCCGGCCGGGTTGGTTCTACCGAAACACCGAAGGACAGGAGAGGTCTGGCGCGCCGCCGGGGCTTTGCTGCCCCGGCGGCGCGCCAGAGACGAAGGCTACTTTCGAAAGTGTCACCAAATCAACACGACATCCGTCACAACAGAGACGACATGCAACAAGTGCCACGGAGAAACTCACTTGTAATTCCGAATTGGTTAGTTTCAAGGAACCGCTCCGTTGGGGAAGGCATCGGGGGGAAATAGGGGGAGCAGACGACACCAAACACGTCCTTCGCTTCGAGAGGCGCCGAGGACCGGCTTGAGCGTTGCCATGGCATCGCGACGTCACTATCTACGCCACCTCCCATTGGCTCCTCTCTTCTGCGGCGTGCGGCGTCAAGCTCTGAACCGCGCACGGAGCGGTTGGGTGTGCGGCGCCGCACGTCGTGACGTTGAAGCCGAAAACTGGTTTCCGCCGGCAACCGGCAGCGACGACCGTCGCGCCGCAGGCCTCCGAAACGCCAATGTGGTCGCGCCTTTATACTCCGACGTTGAGCGCAGCGAATGCCGCGTAGCGCGGAACGTGCGCCTTTCATTGGCCAGCGAGCAGGAACTCGATATCTGCGACCAACCAGTATCCGCGTGCGCTGCGCTACGCCGCGCTGGCTACGGCCAAAACCAGTTTTCGCCCTCAGCGGCTCGCCGCTGGGCGCCGTCAAATGCAGCTTGCACGTGCGCGGTTGAGGGCTCGCCGTTCATCAACGCACAGGAAAGGAGCCAACGGGAGGTGGCGTAGATAGTGACGTGGCGATTCCATGGCAACGCGCAAGCCGCTTCTCCGCGTGTCTTTCACGTGGCACTCCTTCTGCCTGCAGTCTCTCTTTCCCCCAGCGCCTTTTTCAACGGAGCGATTCCTCGAAAGTGTGTGACCTTTTTATATGACCAGACGCAGCCAGACTACCCAGATAAGGACGCCAAAAACAACCGCTGGGAAATTGACGGAGTTGAATCCGGAATAACGAGTGAGTTTCTCCGAGGCTCTTGTCGCGAGTAACCTGCGTTGTGACGGATGTCGTGTTGATTTGGTGGCACTCCCACGCTCGCACCGACCTGCCCCTCGGTGTTTCGGTAGCACCAACTCGGCCGGACCCGAAGCATCTGCCTCCTCCCCTTCAGACGGCGGCGACGTCGCAAGATCAACGGGCAGGCTAGAGCGATCCCATTAACGCTGATCACCGGGTCATCATGGACACCTCGCATGTAGGCATCGAGTGCGGTTTCGATGCTGATATATGCGAAAGATGACAGTGGAACGGAAGAATCTAACGAAGAGCAGACGACGAAAGAGCAAGAAATCCGGCGGAGGCGCGCGCGTGATCTCGAGAACGCGTGAGCCAGGCGAGAGCCGGTCCTGTCACGTGACTATAACGCCCGTAAAACAGAGTGCTCCAATGTGACCTCTCGGCGTTGGGACCCGGGAGGCCCGACGGCGGCGGCGCCGCTAATCGGGTCAGGCCTTAAGAATCAAATATTTGGCAAATTGCATTTTATTAGTCATTTAGTTCCCCCCATATCCTCTTTTCTCTTCACTTTCAAACTGGTATGTGAACATTTACACACGCGACTGATGCTAATTTACTTAAATTTAATCAGTGAGCATAATTATCCCTCTTAAATATTTTAGTAAATTATTACGATAACCTTTTCCCGAATATTAATTACTGTGGTATATGCGAAGTCAAAAGTATCTGTTCTACCAGCGGGTAAATAAATTTAGACCAGAGCGTTTTCTAAATAAGCTTTTTTAATGTTTAATAAGATTATTATACTTCGTCTCACCCTACGATGAACTAAAGGCAAAAGCTACGTACCACCAGATCCAATCACGAGCGACTTAGAAATTGTGCGGTATTTCACGTCGATGCACGTATTGTCTCGGATCACTGATGGGGGGACGGGTGGACAGTGGTTCAAATCGAAGAGCACTGAGTGACTCAACTATTTTACGTGCAAAGAAAGCCACGACATATTGGCTCTTTGCAGCGTCGAAGCTATTGAAATGATGCGGCGCTTTTGGATTCGAGCATTATTCGTTCACCCCTAAGCAATGTAAAGCGTGTTCTAGTATAGCGTGGAACGTGATTGGACCTGGCGACCCGTGGCTTTGGCCTTTCTTCCATCGTAGGATGGGACGAAGTATATTATCTAAAACACGAGCACTTTCTTTACGTTATGAAACAAAAATATTGTTCACACTTGATCCGTGCATCGAGTGTCCGGTTAAATAAAAAAGTGGCAGCTTTGTGAACTGTGTGTCACGTTAAACATGCAGGATGGATTGCACTCGTGCTATTTTAATTTAAAAGCCTCGATTCAGTTTTGCGCTGTGTGGATATTTATATTTTATTAAATAATGAATTCTACAATGTAAACCTTACTTTAGATAGTTTTTTTTTGTTGATTTTTTGTGCCGTCTTAACGGAACGAAGGATGGCACAATAAAAGAACATGATCTGAAATATTGAATAACTCTAGACATCACTGAAGGATTTAAACAGTTGAAGCTATATGGTCAAGACTGGTGTTGAAAATGACACCGATGCATTTATAATCGGTTCAACAAATAGGTTCCTTGATTTTGATCGGCGATTTTAAACGTTTTCCACGTTTGAGTAATCTAAAAGGTAAACTTATGAAAACAGACTAACCCATAAAGACGACCATGTCGGCGATAGTTGTGTCGCACAACTTCATGCAAGGGCTGTAACAAGAAGTAACACACACACACGGGCACACGCAAATTAGAGTCTCCCACAGAATAGACTGCTGTAGACACTGGAAGCGAGTATTTCTCCAAAGCGAGCCTTTGCTCGCAATTATCCTAAAAATGGGCGACGTACATCCTCCGACGGTGGCGGAGGGCCAACCGACTCGAGCCAGCCCGCTAGAGCTACCTTGACAAACGCAGTAGGTTCAAGAAGAACCTTCTACACGGCGGCAGCCGAGGCGGTAGCCCGTCGAGACAACGTAGTTCCACGAATCGAGTTTGGACAAAACGATAAGTACTCGCGTGCGCTGTCAACGAAATTGGCGTGACATTCACACAGCTCCATGGTTTTGTCAAGTCCAATATGTTGTGGTCGTCTTTGTTAGTGGCAGTTTGTGGTCGTCGTTTGTTTCTGTCGCTTCGCGCCGTCGCGGCTTCTCGTCGTCGCTGTTTGTCGTCGTCATTGTTTGCCGCCGTCGCCACTTGCGGTTGTGCCATCACATTAAAAAAAATGTAGAAGTAAAACTTCCAAACTCAGAGAGTTATGTATGTACCCGCAATAATTAAAAGCACACCTGCGAACACGGTTACGGTAATCTGGCTCTTGTATAGAAAGTTCCACGTGGGAGCTAAGCCTACGAAATATTTGAATTGCCTGAGTCATGATAGTATTGTTAACGTTTGGGGGTGAACCAATTAACGATGAGGTTGCATTTGACTTAATTAAAACGTTAAAGGTTACACTAAATGGGGGATTAGAGAAAGGTTGCAGTTATAGAGCGGCGCTGCGTCTTGGTCGGCGTCGTCGGATGGAACGTTCGCCTCGCTTCCGCTTGTCCACGGGCGAGGGCGATGGGCTTCCACGCTCTTGCTTGCTGGCTGGCGCGTGCTGCTCGGGTTTCCTGGCAGAGAGGCCCCGCCACGTCTCGAAGAAGGCTCGGGGGTTCGCCGGGGACCGTGTACAAACTTCTGTCTGGAGCAGCCGGGGTCGGAGACCACCGACGAACTCTTGGGTGGCGTTCTCCGACTTCGATCTCCTGATCGCTAACAGTACGTTGCTTACGATCTTATTTTATTTTAGTATTTTTATAATTATTTATTTTAATTTATCGGTCTTATTTTTATTTCTCGGAAAATAATAGTACGCGCATATGTTTATCTACTCCTAGATAGTGAAAGGTTATTCTTTTATAGCATGACGTAAAATTATTCCGGATCATTGTCATCTAGAACTCACATATTTCAAACGTAGTCATAAAACATAGTCATCTATATTATTTTAATATTGACTAAGATTGCAATTAAGCTACAATCCTGACTTTACCTTCGTGAAATTATGGTATACCAGCCTCACGTAGTCGATGAAAGACAGGTACGGGATTCCCTTTCCATGCCAGTAACAATATTTTCTTCGTATTGCCCTGAAAAAGTTTCGAAAATTCACCGATCAAGAGTTGGTACTCGTAACTCTATTGCAAACGAAGGCAACCAAGACGGTCGAAGATGATTATTCTAATTAATGCCCACATGTACAATGTGCAACTCTTCGTGCAATTCATTTCTTCGTGCAATAAAGATATATTATTAATATATCTTTATAGAGTCGATATAATACAATGTAGCACGATTAATTCAGAAAAAAGATACTTTTAAGCCGATTGGCTATCCGGGATTCGCAAGAAGCAGTCTCTTGCGTAAGATTACCTCATAATTATTGCCATCGATTAAGAGGAAATTGAATTGGAGTAGACCGTCAGAATTGAAAGCAACAAACCCGTAGATACTCTAGGGACGTGTATGTTCTAGCGGATTCGATCCGAACACACTTAGCACGTCGCCTCGCCCTAGTAAAGACTTCGAGACGCGCGAGTAGAATGAAATGAAACGTTTTGGTCTCCTCGATTTCATATCCCCTTATGGCGTCAAAATATAAGTAAATTACTTTGATAGGCATTTTGTAAATTTGGTTCGCATACGAGTAACATTTTTCCTTTACGTTTGTTAGACACCTATTGCTGATAATTTCAAGATGTGTCTGTCCGCAGTGGATCTCCGTTAAAGGCATATTGAATCGAAACTAAAATATACCTCTCACGTTTAGAAATAAGTTAAACAAGATCAACTCTATCTGCGAATGGCAATCGTACGCTTGTGTTTCAAGCGGGTGGCTGTATTTTCCGCTCTAAATGTTCGATTCTTGGGAGCGCTTCAAAATCCGTCATCGAAGAGCGCTGTGCGTCTCGGGATATCCGTCGCGTCCCCGATTTGCCTGCGACGACATCGGCCTCCCTAGGGCCAGGCGTAAACCGTAGTTATGAGCCTCGACGCTTGGTGGCGTCAACGCGTTACTACCTCGCTTAGTCAGAGTGCACAAGAGCTGTAATATATCACCGGGAGATTGTGGAGCCCGGAAAGTCGTCCGTGCTATGATAACACGTCGTTTGATCCGAGACTTGGCCAATATGGCGACATCGGCAACGTCGGTTTCGGACGCGGCCTTGCTGCTCCTTGAACGGGATGACATCGTCGAGAGGCGGCTCTGTTATCTCGCACGAGGCAAGATACTGAAAGATGTCGTACCTTATGTTGTCCAAGGTGAAGACAGGATAATGTGTGACGATAGGACGACGCAATTGTTGCTTGCCAGATTTACCACCGGCTGATCACAACGAACAGACTCGGCAAAGGAGCCAACTTCACAGATAAATAAATATTGTTTCGAAGGCGCCATACCACTTGACATCCTTCGTTTATTCGAGCGAGCAGAGAAGCAGGCCGAGTCCGAGGGGTCAGCACGGCGGTGGCATCACTCGAGTATTCACGCAGCGTATCGCATCAATAGTGGTGTGACCGCAGCATTGTCACGCCACCGCCAAAAAACGTGTATACCACGACGATTTTGCGACATTCCTCGTAACAAGGGCGAACACTAAGCGAACGAAGAGAAGGCATCGGCGTAAAGGAAGTTTGCCTTGGTCTCGACGGGATGCGATTTTCCGAGCGAAGGCACAGATCACGGTGAACACGACTGTACAATTCTTACATCGTCACACACCAACTGCCACGAAATTACACTCGCATCGCCACGATCTTTTAACGTGACCTTTTCTCAATGGCGAACACTAAGCGAATAATGAAAAGCGATCGGCACCGCTTTCATCGGTCTCGTCCGACGAGGCTTACTCGTTCATCCAAGTAGGGGCACTTAGCAGGTCGACGGCGACTAAGTTGGACGGCGAGACGATAGCTGAATTGCCCCCTTTCATCGCAAAGAAGCTACCGCGCACAAAAGCGGCTACCGGCAAAGCTTTGCGACGTGAACCCAGGTCACTTCGAGACGTCCGCGTCACTCGGAGAGAACGACGTTCAAAGCAGCGCTCGCCCATGCTGAAAGACATCGTTCCCCCGAAGTCAGTGACGTCAAAGAATGAGGGGAAGCGACTGGTTGGCGGAGTGAATCCAAGGAGGAGGCCAACTGGTGCTTTGGCTTTCTTCGCCAAACCTTCGGTATTACGTCGTGGCTTAGGGAATTCGTACTAGTAAGCGTGCTTCCCATACAGTGGCGCTGCCGCTCGAAGCCGATGCTGTCATGATGTTGTATCGAAGCCTCATCACCAACAACCAGGTGGTATTTGGTAATCGTTTAATTCAGTTTAAAATATGTTTTCTCGCATTTTTCAACGAAATACTGATGCTCCTGAGGTTCTACTGCTACGTACGTCATTGTGAAGCAAAGAAATGTGCTCTAGAAGTTGGTTTTCGCACCCCTTTAACGCCTTCCCAATCTAGATAAAACATTGCCCTTACTTTTAAAATATATCGTGCTCGAAGAATATTTACTCCAATCTAATCTTGGGTTGGCTCGTTATAACTTAATAAAAAAGCCTTTTTGAACATAACCGCCGGTCACTTCTGATGAACAATCGTCGTTCCCTGAGGCGAGCAGATCATGAACGGTGCATGAGCCTTTTTTCTACCTCTATAGCTTAACACTAAACAAGCTGATATAGTCCTCACCCAGGCGACGCGTTTGACTTCAAATCTTTGCAATAGTTATTGAAAACAAGTTATTAAACTCTCGGATGCGTGTTTCAGAAGTTAGCACGAAATATCTAACACTACATAAAAAATGACTCCCACTGACTGTATTACGAACGTTCTATAGAAGCGGCAAGGGTAGGTAATATCAACTTACCAAAAGAGTAGAAAAATCAACAAAGAAATCAAAGCCAACGTCGCTTGCAGCATGTCGTCAGTCGGACGTCCGCAAGAGTATGTTTTTTAAGGTCGCTGCGTACCACGATGAGGCGACCGCAGCCACAGCCGCATATCGCTATCATGTACTCAAAAGGGGGAGATGTTCACTGACCGACAAATAGAGATAGAGGACTGCGTGTTTGCTACCTGCCCAGCGCGCTCGTGTGTCCTTAATTTTCACATGCGCCAACACACTATCGGAAATACTAAGACCCAAACGTGCATAGTCATGACGCTCGTCGTCTTTGCGCGTTTGCTCTTAGTGACCAAATGAATCACGTGCAGCAAAAAATAAAAAGGATCGTGGGGTATTTATTGGGCGTGATTGGTTTCGCCAGGGACATAGCAAACGCGCAAACACAACGTGCACGGTGACAATGCACTTTGGGCGCCGCTTCAGCGACTCCATCCGAATTGTGGCGTCGACTACGGCCGCGGACTTTGAGCGAAAGAGAGGCTATAGGACTGCACCTATGACGATCGAGCAACAGGTCCCGCCGGGACGTTATGTGTTTGTTACATCTCATCCCACCGAATTGCCCTTGACATTTTCTCTCGACCCATAAAAAAAGTTATAGTAAATAAGATACACAGTAAGCAATAAATGTATCTCGTGAGAATTTTGAGGGTAAATATCCTGTATTATAAGCGATTATGTTAAGGCTGCGGTCCCACGGCGGCCATGAAAAAGGACAATGTGTTCCCCTGTTAGAAGCGCGATTCTGACGTTTAGTCACTGCCTAAACATATTTAACTTATGTCACCTTATAGGCAATGGGCCTCATTTGGATATATGATATATATTTCTGGAGCAAAAAGCGAGATCGGTGAGGATCTCCGAATATTGGTGTTTTTGGTCATTTATGGTTTGATAGTACGAATGGGAAGAGTTTGCCGTTAGAGGAATTTGCATCCAAAATTTAATGGTTTGTAGATAGAAAGTGTTGTCTTTGTACAGCCGGGCCTTTTTTTTTTTTTCATTTTCCTTTTAGTTTCGAAGGTTGACCTCTTGGAAAATTGGCTTTACGGAAGCATATTCACGAGCTATTTTCTCGACAACTGTTGCATATTTATTTCTGATTCGTTTTATAGCTATTAGTATATAAAACTTACAAACGTGTGTTAAATTTACTTAGGATTGACGTATAACTTTTGCTGTAAGACTCGCTTAAAAACCAATGAAAATGTCAAAATCAGGCGAACATCGTTTGGTTGCACGGATTCACCGCTATGGCTTGTCAGCACAATTGATCAACCTCTTCTGTAGAGACAATTGGGTATTTGCTCTTTTGCATAGCAAAGCCCTTTTTCGCAATTTCGCATTTTGTTTCTCAAAAAAAATTAATAAATTTCAGGCAAAATTGGATCCTTCTTAGACACAAATATCACATTTGTCTATATTTATACTATTCGATGGGTAATCATGTTGTCATAAAGAAGGGTTAATATCTGATGTACAAAATAGCAGCTTTAGTTTTCAGTAAACATGTCGAATTTTTGTTTGAGGATGGAAACAAACATCATATCCGGTGGTTTAGATGATCTTGATGGTCGCTTGCGCCATCCTTCGAGTTGTGGCTCAAGTATGTGAACGACGTGTTCAAGCAAATTCCTATAGGGCGGCGCTGATTGTGTTTCTGACGTATAGACTGACGTAACGCTTCTAGCCTCTCAGATTTTCTCGAGCTTGTCCCGCGTTCTTAGAGGCGGCCAAAAAGGGGAATAAAAAAAAAAAAGAAAACGAGACACGTTTCTCTCGGAAGTTCTGCCTCGTGTGTTCGTGCAGTTGCCTTAGTTGCTGCAGTGTTCAGTTCCCTTGCAAACATAAACCCACGAGGTTCCCACATTTGGCGCTGCGAGTATCAGCTAAAGTTTCGAGTCGATTCAGCGTAGGTTGAGCGCTAAGTTAGCGCTGTGCCAGCGTGAAAGTTGCGTGCGGCATTGCTGTATGTTCGAACGCGGTGAACGACGGCAGGACCGGGAGAGCATTAAAACACCTTTGTCTAAAATTATGGAAAATAACGACGAAGCGTATCTTGTATAATTTAAAGAGTTTGGATTTCGAGGCTGTCGGTCGCGTCCGCCGTTGTGCAGGGTGTCAGCGCTCATGATTTTATCGCCTAAGCGATGGCGTCCCGCTCAACTATTACAATACCGCAGTGGATAGCGGCTGATTCATACAGCGGCCTCTCTTATGTTACGTTACGTTGCGAGCACTTAGTTCAATATGGAACCCCCAGTCACTGCAAAATGCATAATTTGTATGCCGTATGGCAACCACTTTACGGTGTAGCTTGGCACGCGGCCTCTGGGACGAATATTGGCGTGACTGGAGTTCGTAACATAACAAAACATAAGGAAGTGCTGGTGTGAAAGTGGTCCTTACTCTTTGCAGCGTGCTTATATCAATAAGAATCTGTTCTGAAGGCACCCCACTCTGTTCTATCTCAAGACCGTCTGTAAGCTCCTGAATCGCCTGGTTCCGGCAATGGGCACAACATTTCTCGGTTTTCGGACAATCACGGCATCCCGCTTATGTGTATTTGTGTACATGTGTGTGTGTGTGTGTGTGTGTGTTTGTGTGGTTCTTTATTCGTACACCATCAAAGCTGTCATCTTTACTGCAGAAAAGTAACCAGGATGCTCGCAATAACCCGAGAGTTCGCATCGTTCATGCCACCAACATATCCTGTGGTATCTCTTCGCCGATTTCTATGCCGCGGTATTGGAGCAGTAGTATTGGTCTGTTTGCCATCGTGTTTCCTTGTACCTTGTGAAGAGCACGTCGGCTTCCAATGGGCGGTTGCAAGCGGTGGCAGACACGACGCCAGAGCATGAAAAACGTATTTCGTCGTCATGGAAACTTGAGGACAGGCAGGTTCGAGAGGTCCAACGCATCGGAAGGGTGCGTCCTGAATCATCGCACACGTATATGGCACCAGATGATAAAGTAATACTTTGAGCGCGAGGAGAGGCTCATATGAAAAGGTGTCAAGCAATGAACTTCGAAATTACCCAATATCCCCCAATATGGTCGCTATTGCATGAAACCTTTGCAAGAAACTTTTCTCGTATCAGCTCGGGTGTATCGCACGCGCACGCGATTTAAACCTTGCGCTCTTGTGGGTTCAAGCTATGCAATATTATTATTTCTTGTCTTACTTTTTCGCGCCTGTGCCTTGCTGTGGCAAAATACCTAATGCTCTAACAATTTTAGGGGCGCCAACCCAACGCCAGCTACCACCAAGGATTGTCCTTCTGCGGCAGTGGATGTCCCATGTACATCAACCACCCCCACCACCTTTCCCTCGGGACCACCTAATATACGTGAGAAATGCGGCAGCACTATCAGCTAGATAGCAAGAACCAGTCTGGGGAAAAATCTCCCGCATCCGGTCCATCGGTCAGGGATGCACCTTCTGTACAACCAAGAAACTCAACTGATAAATTTGGCAGCACGGAAGAACCTTCTGAACATGTGGTTACTCCAAATGATTCAGTCTCTTCTTTATTGCGCAAATCCACTCCTCCCTAGGAAACAAAAGTAGTACATTTGGCAGCCCGACGAAGACGTGCGAGGAGGAGTCTACTGAACTTGTGCCTAGAGACGAAGGTGCTGTAGTTTTGAAATTGGCCATATCCACCCCTTTTTCTCTCTCGCCAATTGACAATTCTTTCACCTCGACAGATTTCTGTCAAGGTACGGCTGCAGTAGATTCGTTTCATTTTGATTGGGAGCAAGGCGAAGTCGAAGAACTACTTCCTGATCTTATAATTGTTGAACCACCAGACCTACGTTTGATCTGGACTCACTATCTGAGAGGAGGATTCTATCTCCCGCACACCTTACCAACGCGGTACGTGATCTCGACATGCATAAGTGCTCCTGCAATGAAGGGAAATTTATCCTCAAGTCAGAAAAACGAGTTGGGCCCCGGTCAGAATTTAAATTCTTGTGTGACAAGCGCCACCAAGTTAAACCTGTCACCCCAGAACCACCCACAGAGCCAACATTTCTCGCGGACAAGACCAAACTGGGTGTAAATGACTGCGCCGTGTGGCTATTTTCAAGTATTGGATCCGTGTATGCCAACCTCGACGAGACATTGTCAATCTTGGGGAAACCCGCCATGAGCAAGGGCGCCTTCTTGAGGCGCGAAGAGGCTCTCGGCCGGGTAAATGTGTAATTGTTCACTTTCGAATTGTTTTCAACAAAAGAAATGACAAAACAAAAAGAGCAGCACAGGAGATGTCACTGGACAGCGAAGTATATAGGGTGATTTTAGATAAGATCGACCAAAGGGTTGCTGGTCGACATTTTTAAATCAACTGATGTTTTTTTTTATGTCATTATATAGTGTATGGTATAAACGAATCTACGCTTATTTTTGACCAAAAATCGAAAGGCATCAAGAGGTGGACAGTTGCATTATCGTGCACTGGTGGGGGGGACACGTTTGAAACTGAATAACTAAAAGGATAGAGTTAGAAGAATTCTTATTCTTAACAAAACCAAACTGGGGGTACAGCTTGCTTGTAATATAAAGTAAAAATATTTATTTAAGTTTTTTGTTTTTTCTCTAAATTGCCAAACATGCCTCCTCAAACGATAATTGGCAAAATTTGGAGGCCTGTATCTCGTGAAATAATTTAGTCATTATTATATAATTTGCAGGTAGTATTCTAATTGTATATGGCTATTTTTTTTAAATATAATGAGGTATCTGAGTGACACGATAGTTGGGATATATTTAGGCAAACATGGGAAAAAATAAACAACGAAAAATTCCGATGCAAGTAAAAAAAAACACCACCTTCGATTTTTTTTTTTTAAATTCGGGTATCCTGTCATACTCTATTTCGGCATTGATGTTTATTAAAGAGATGTTTTATTAATTTATTGAGAAAGAAAACACAACTCCCCAAACTAGGGTCACTCTTCAAAGCCTACGCTTAGCAGTGCCCTACACGAGAGATTACTCGGAGTTCCAGTTTCCAGGAAGCTAACAAACATATTTCATATATTTTTGTTCAGAGTAGGTCACTGACAGCTAGAGCGATCAGTTACACAAT